GACCAGAAGCCTTACTGATAACATAATACATAGTGTGTATGTTCATATGTATTCTTACAATAAAGTAAGCTGGAGAAAAGCAAACGTTATTAAGAAAATTGTAAGGAAGGGAAATAATTTGTAGTACTTACTGTATTTATCAAAAACAATCCACATGTATGTGGAACTGTGCAGTTCAAACCCATGTTGCTCAAGGGTCAACTGTACTCCTTCAAACAAGACCAACCTTTCTCCTTCCCGCCCCCACTGCCCCACCACATTTCTTGACATAAGCAACTTCTTTTTCTCTTGAAAGGTTTGTTTCTTAACTCCTCTAACCCCACAGCATCTGGAAAAGCTGGGGCTCTCACCACTGTTCTAAGTACAAAGACCTGGCAGCTAAAGGTGGGCTAACGGTAGGCGACATCACTCCCAAGACCTGTGAGCCCAGACACCATTCCTTGGATTGCCTCACTCTTCTGTCAACTTCTCCAAAGGCCTCCTCATTCCTATCCAAGTCCAGGCCCTCCGCCTTCTAATTGTCTTTCTATGGCCACGTCCTAAAAGTCCCCTTGCAGCGAGGATTCCGTTCCCTCCCTGCCTAGAGTCTGTATGCATTCCCGGTGCCTGCCCCAGCCAGACACTCACCTCTTAGGCTCTGACCAGACAGACTCGGCCTCCTCCTGCTTCCACACCCCACAGTCACGCCACCTCACCCATGTTCCACTCACTGCTCGGGACTTCCCGACTGCCAGGCCTGGAATGACTCTCCTTACTCTCTGGAGAGGCCAATCAGAATCTCCTGGAACTTCAAAGACCACACTGTCACTAATCTGTTGCCAGCCCAGAGTTGCTGTCTGGAAGCTCTCATTGGAATCTCATGACATGGATCCCATCCTTGGAATGCCTTCCTTCATGAGGGTGCAGGTTCTTTGAAGAGGGCCTCTAGACACTCCGATGTAGAAGAGAGGACACAGAGTCGAAGGATTTAGGTTTGAACCCACTCTTACTTCCTGTGTAGCCACAGCAGGTTACTTACCATTTTAATCAACAATTCCCCCAAATGGAAAATTAAAACACCACCCCCTCCTAGAATTCTGCCACAAATTAGGAGAGAGAGCAAAGAAGTATCTCATACCCAAGTGTGTCTATAGATTTGCTATTTTTTTTTTCCCTCTCAAGTCCAAATTATCCAGTTTGGGCTGAGGCAGCCTATGGTAATAAAACATGTCATTTTCCCCCCATTTTGTTTTGACAGGCTATAGAATATAAATGCAAACATTTGAATATTTCACACTCATTTTTTCTCTGGGGAAGCAGGAAAAGAAAACTGATACTTTAAGTATTTTTCCTTAAAATGAAGAGGGAGGGCGGGAAGAAGAAAGGGAGGGAGGAAGAGAAGGGGGGGAGTGAGGGCGTGGGCAGAAGGAAGGGTGGGAGAGAGGTCTGAAATGCCTTATTAAAGAAAATTATAATGTTATTCAACTGAAAACACAGAAGTGCTTCCAAAACACTGTATGTGTCAAGCCCAATTCCTCTATATTTCACAATATTACAAACACAGGTCGGCCAGCGAATCAACAGTGTTTCCCATCCACTCCCCATGGCTACTCCCCAGGCTTTCTGAAGTAACCTGCTTGTATGACTGTAGATGAATCCGAAGCAACCGCCTGCCTGTTTTCTTAACATGGCTTGGCCAGGAGTTGTGAACATTGGCTCGGAAGACCTGATTTCGCAGTGACCAGCCAACACGCCTCACAACTTAGCACTGAGTAGGGCTGGGAGCCAAATTGGCCTTGGCTCTCTGCAGAAAAGAGAGCCTAAATAACCACAGCAAAGGCATGTGGGGAGGTTCTGTCCGAATTATGCAAGGAAGCTGGCTAAATTTGGTCATTTTCTAAGCTTCCCACAATGAAAACAGCAACTATAAATGTGAGAAAACGTCTCAGGACATAACTCCATGTTATAGTACTGATTTGGTTCCCTTTTGAGATGCTGAAGACATCATCAAAAAGGAGGCTACATTACTTATAATCTTCCGCAGAGCTTGGCTTCACATCATTCATCTTAAGAAAATCCAAAAACTTCAAAATGCATTAATCCCCAGTGAGCTGGATCTTCGTAATATATTCATTCTTAGTGTTTTGGCAAAGTAGCACCATGTCACTAGCTTAATTGGTGGCAGGTTATTTTCCAGTTGTCAAATGATCTTTTCCTACTTAGGAGTCAGAAATAAAAATACTCACTCATAAAGGAACTGAATAATTTGGAACACGAACAACATAAGTATTTATTTGAAAAACATTTTCCATTTAAGTAAAATGGCAAATCAGTTATAGTAGCTTCTTACTACTAATTCTAATTTGCACTCACAGTTATTTTTATTCATCATATTCAATGATATTACTACAGAAAACTATTTCACAAAGTATTTAGGAAAAAATATATACAGTCTCTCCAATAGAAAGTTAATTAAAATAACAAATCCAGGCAATATAAAGCTAAGATATGAAACAAGCTGGCATTTATAAACACAATAAATAAATATGTACAAAAGAGTCTGTGCCAACAATGGACAAAGAAAAGCTTCATAACAGCAGGGAACAATGATAAGAATACAAAGTATCTCAGGACACTAGACTAAGACTAACACAATGTAGTTAAAAAAAGAGGAAAAAGAAGAAGAAGAAGAAAAAAAACCCAGGGAATCTGAATTGCTATTATTCTCAAGGTTAAGCTGAACTGAACTTTGGCTCCATAGGTAAATTCCTGCAATTCTTTTTTGAGGGAAACCAATGAAGGTGAGAAGCCCATGCTTGGAACTGGGGTGGAATTTGGCTCAGTCTTTTAAATCCATCTGCAAATGTTTTTATTCAGCTGTTGTTTCTTCATTTCTCCTTACCTGATTACTGGAAATTTCGAAAGCGGAGTTGACATTGTTGTCAGTGATAAAAAAAAGAAAATATTTTCCCAGGTCTGAATGAATAGGAGTAGAAATGAAGGCCATTTTGGAAGCTATCTCTTAAATACTATTAACTAAATATGAGTAGAAATCTTTGGATAGAAATCTCACAGTAGAACGCTAATGAAATTCTCTCATGAATCTCTAAGGCTTGGGGGAAAGTATATGAAGATTCAGTAACGACTTAAGACTAATTTTCGTCTACATGTAACCTCTGCCAGAATAAGCAGCCTGTTAATAATACACCTATAGAAAAGGATTTGGCTCTACTGTAGCAAATCTTAATGACCTTGAGGTTTACTATCCTTTCCTACTATATACACTCCGCCCCTGTGAAAGTCAAGTGGGGTAACGCTCATGTCTCCCAGGCCTGGTCCAGGCTGCTGCAAAATGAAATGGTAATAAAAACCCACCATCATATTATCTTATCATCCATTTAAGTCTGGCAAATAGTTTATGACTGGAGATCAGCAAAAGGTGAGAGACCCCCTGGATGCTGCATAGCCTGAGAGCTCTCCTAGGTCTCAGACTGAGAGCCACCTCCTTTTTGCACAGAGAGAAAGGCCCCCAGGTGCTCAGTTCTGGCTTCTGTCTTTAAGCAGACTGGCGCTGCCTTATCTTCTCATCATGTGGGCTAATGTCTCCTAGAACCTGATGCTTCCCAGATAACCCAGAGCAAATGTAAAAGTACAACATGTATTGAGATCAATTTCTAAGGACCTAGATACAACTCCATCAATTAAGAATAATTTAAATGTCATCTCCAACACATTCACTAGGAAGCAGATCACTTAGGGTAGTTTGAAAATTAGGTAACCTGCTTAATATGCATGCCTTGTACGCAGAAACCTAATTTATTTATCTATCTTGCCAGACCTCCTCTGGCTCTTATAATCAGAGGACTGGTATACAAATGGTTTTTAGACTAACAATTGCAGACCAACATGTTTATAAATTATTTTGACTATGACAAGTCACCCATATGTCTCAGTTTACATTCTTTGGAACAAAACACTTGAAAAGGAAGTAAGAGGCTTTCCAATTGTGCAAATGGAAATGTCTTAAAGTCCCTAGAGCAAGGACAGGACCATAGAATCTCAATGATTGTATTTTCTAAAAGGGAGAGACTATTATACAGTATATATATATACTATGCCTGATGGAAATCCTCGTTCCTCCCATGAGTCTATGGGCTCAACAGATAGAAGAGGAACAAAACCAGAAGTCTAAGATTCATTCTTCAACAATAGTGGGAAGTCCACATTAATGGAATCTCAACATTACACTTCACTCAAATGTATGGGATTAAATTCTAATCAATGATGATGCTTAAACCTTGTGTCTTGAGTAGGATAAGTGAAATAGTAGAAATTTACAGGGCCTCATATTCACTGGGTCAAAATTTTAGAAATTCTTTCTCAAGCACATTAATGTTTTGAAGGTAAAACATTTGGTATAATAAGAACAAATTCCTTTCTAATCGTTGGGTCAGGCATTAAGCATTTTTTTGTATCTGTGGTTGAAAACTTATGGAAAGAGAAGAAATGTTACTGCATTCATAGAAACTGGCACTGAGAAGGAACTTGAGGGCATCCAAATAGTTGTGACTATTCATATGCTTTTCATTGTTGAGAAAGATGATGCAGCAAATGGCTATATCTAAAACCTAATAGTGGGGCGTGAATGAGCTCTAAGCTGTGCTTGTCCCTTGCTCTGCCCCTCCTTTGTCCACTGACTTTAATGTCCCCCACTCTCCCTGAGTTCTGATTAGTCCAATCCAATTATATATTTTAAAAAATCATATCCCCTGTGGCTACTGGGACATGTTGCTCTCAGTACTAAAGTTTTAGTGATGATCAAAACTCCCCCATGGAAGAAATACACTGAAAAGACAGATTTTTTTAAATTTCACAAAAGCCTTCTTAACAAAGTACATTCCTCATACACGTACACACAGTTATCTAGGTCACAGCACATTCACATGTGCTGGTCACAGTTTTCCCTGCTTGCAGAGCTTCATGTCTCCGTAGACAGATTCTTCTGTTATATACTAAACACGTTAAAACTTTGTGCTGTGGCTGAAGGTGTCTGACATGATAATATTTTTATAGAAGTTGTCTGAATGAGCATTGCAATAACCCTTGACTTTGTCAATGACCTGGTGGACAGGGATGATTGATGTTTGTTCTCCATCAGCATGGGTCAATTTTGACGAGGATTTGTCCACGAAAGCATTGTCTGCAAGAAATGATACCATAAATTAGACTGCGAGATGAGGTGACATGCCTAAGGGCCACCAAACTGGACACTATTTTGCACATTACAGAAGTACACAAAGGAAATGAAGGCCTGTTCTTTCTTAGGTTAGGTAGTAGGCAGCACTAACATTTCATGCTTTTCATCTTCAAAGTGCATTCCTATGCATGAATGAATGTTAATTTGCCTTCTAGTAATGTATGTTGGAATTTGTTTCAAGAAATGTTCCTGTAAAGTGGCATTTTTCAAAGAGTCAGTGAATAGAATAATCAGAAAATTGCCACAAAAATATAATGTGGCAAGTAACTCAAAATAAGCAGGGACAGATTATATGGCAAATAAACTAAAAGTTGCCAAAACATCTATGAAAGAAATGTTTGATGTCTAAGATAGGATTTCAAAATAATACAGGGTGAGGGAAATGGGTAGGTGGCCATGAGTTGACAGGTACAAGGGGACTTATTACACTATCCTCTCTACTTTTTATGTATGTTTACCACTCTTCATAATAAAAATTTTTATAAAATATAATATAAAAGATGTTGGAGAACAAAGTGAATGAAAATAAACATGAAAGGGTATTTTGGACTCATTTTCCCATCTTTTTTAACTTATAAAATGATTGGAATACAGAAAAAGGCATCTTTTATTAATTATTTCTAAATTATAACAATTAAAATTATCAGAAGTATTTTAAGTCTGTGTTTTTATTATCTATGCTACATTCTCAGAATGTTATTGTTGATAGTAATAATATCAGAGCAACTGATGGTAATAAAGGACTGTTAAATACATTTCTGTTCTGAATTTCTCAATTTTATTTATTTATTTATTTTTAAGTTTTAATTTTAATTCCAGTTAATTAATACACAGTGTAATATTAGTTTCAGGTGTAAAATTTAGTGATTCAATGCTCAATATCATATATTTAAGTATTATTTCCCTAGACCCAAAACCTTTCTAAAATTATTTCAGATAGTAGTCTGAAACTCACATAAGCCCTATTATCTTTACAAATATATACGGCTGTCTTCATGTACCCTATGAATATCTTGTAAGTATAGACTCTCTTCCCCTTCCCAACACATTTTGGTGAAAAATTCTACCCTAAAATTAACCACAGGGATCTCACACCAATGAAGGAACAAATGTGACCTTCTACAAAGTATTCAGTTCCCTACATTGTATATTCTCTATTTACTGTGGAAGAGGCAAAAACTCTATCATGAAAAATTGCTTCTAGGAATCATGGCTCCAAATTTGGAATGTTCATTTCAGGCATTTTTATGTTTTGAGTAAGTTGCCCCCAGCATGTGACATAACATGAAAAATCCATCAGTAATTGGTAAAAGCCATCATTGCTGTATCTGCTGTCTTTGGAAATGACTCAAACTGTTCAACTACTGTCTTCTGTTGAAGGAGACACTAAATAAAATGAAGGCTAAAAGAGGAAATGGTGTGTCCACCCCATACTAAAGGAAGAAAGAGAATAGATGGCTCATGGGAAGAATGGCAGACTGAAGCATGGCAGAAGGATTACATCTCAGGACTGGTGAGGAAAGGCTTAGGGAGTCATTTTAGAAAGGCCCCCACCCCATTTAGCTCTCAGCAAGCTGACTGATTCTGTGCTTCCTTCAGTTCACATATTCACTAGCCATTGGTTTTCTATTGGGGATTTTTCTATTAATTTAAACATCAGTAACAAATAATTTGTGCTTGACGTTTTTAGAAAAGCCATACATCCTCAGAGAAGCTTCAAGGATACACTCATTCTGCTTCATTGACAACTTCCAATGGCATGTGCCTTTGAGAGATTTTTGACCAGCTCCTTTCCAAATATGTGATCCAATTTTCTGGGTCTTCATAGTCAATAAAGTAGAATTGTGAACAAGGGCTGTACCTCAACATGTATGCTATTCCCAGTCCTCTGGTTAGACATTATATCATTAACAATAGAGATTTAGATTACAGCAGCAAGTTTGAAAACCAGGGGCTAGGGAAATGAACTATTATTTGATCTATGCTGAAATATCAAGCAGGTAAAAATCTTCAAAAAGCAGGCTTGGAATCGACAATTTCTCTATTATGACTTCTATGAATGTACCATGACATAGCCAGTAATTCATAAGAGCACTGGAAAAGAATTTCACTCTTTTCTATAACAGACTTCTCAAGTACTGCTTTTTTTTTCCATTATTTTACCTGATATGTGACCCATTAACTCCAGAGCATGGTACATTTCCTAGAAGGAGCAGTTTGCAGACACCCCATGCAGAGAAGAACCAGCACAGCACACAACCATTTGAAATTTCAGAAATTCCAGCTCAATGCAGGAATGTCATTGTACTAGCTGAGAAGTATTGTAAAGAACAAGCAATTTTGCTGGTGCGGCAAGAGTCTTAGTTTAATCCATGCAAATATTCTTTTATTACCTTGCAAAAAATTCATGCATTCAAAAAAGTAATAAAAGTTTACCTGAATGATCCACTTTTGCTGAAGGAATGCTCTTAGAAGACATTATCTACACCATAAACATATGAATTTCTAGATCAATTCCAAGAAATAAACCAACTAGATATCCATGATGATGTGCAATGACTTTTTGCATACTCCAAGGGACCCAAGTATACCAGCCGTCACACTGAGAACTGGCGAGGTAGCTAAAGGCCGTTTGTACATCAGTTGATTGGAAACCATAAATTACTATGTCACAGAAGTAATGTCATATAGCTGACTTATGCTAGTTGACAAGAACACATTTAACCCCAAGGGTTTTGTTATGGGAAAGAGAAACACAATAATGCATTCCTTTAAAAAAAAAAAAAACCTACACAACACTTTGAAATAGCAAAGTTTTTCATTGGTACTTCCATTTTTGTATTTCCTTTTATCTTTTGGTCAGTTTTCCCCATGATCCCTAATATGCCTAAATATTTCATTAAGACTTCCAAAATGCCCGCTGTTCCAAATAATCTACTTTGTTATCTTCTTTCCCCTTTCAATAATGGCATTTTCCTGGCTAGCTATTCTCAGCTATGTTAAGAGGAAAACAATTTAGTTGGTCTAATCCCTATTCATTCACAACTGATGTATAATGCACTGTTTGCATTTTAGAAGGGCAGGCAAAATGAGTATTGTTTTATAAATGGGATTGTTTTAATTTCTCTTTCCACCACTTCATTATTAGTGTATAGAAATGCAACAGATTCTAGTATATTAATTTTGTATCCTACAACTTTACTGAATTCATTTATCACTTCTAGTTGTCTTATGGTGGAGTCTTTAGGGTTTTCTAAACACAGTATCATGTCATCTGCAAATAGTGAATGTTTTACTTCTTCCTTACCAATGCAGATGCCTTTTCTTTTTCTTGTCTGATTGCTATGGCTAGGTCTTCCAAAACTATGTTGAATAAAAGTGGTGAGAGTAGACATCCTTGTCTTGTTCCTGATCTTAGAGAAAAAGCTCTCAATTTTCACCACTGAGTATGATGTTACCTGTGGGTTTTCTCATATATGACCTTTATTATGTTGAAGTATGTTCCCTCTAAAACCTACTTTGTTTTTATCATGAATGAATGTTGTATCTTGTCAAATGCTTTTTCTGCCTCTATGAAGATGATCATATAAGTCACCAGTTTTAAGGCTGATTAAATAAAGTGAAAAATTCATTCATTATAAATAAAAGATATTTTGTGCCAGGGAACTAGGTAGAATAATCTATCTCAGACTCTACACCTGTCAGAAATTTTCTTACACTGGTGTTTAAAGAAGGGATAACAGACCTCTTAATTTTAGGCTGAACTGTTTGTGTACAGGACTCAGAGGCTGCATCTTAAAATGGAAGAGTCCACAGTTTTTATTTGATTCTTGTGAATGTCCTCTACTCCAAGAAAGTTTTACAACTGCTATCCTAAGCTGCTCTAAATTTTCAGATCTTTAATTTTGTAATTAACAAACTCTCTAAACACTCAAACATTTTTCCATAGTGCTACCTTGAATCTCAGGCAATGGCCATTCCAGTGGCAAGTTACAGACTGTGGTGTAAACAGGGACATGTAAAACAATTCAAATGTACATAATGGTCATTTGAAGTTTAAATGTTTACAAAATGAACATTTACAGATATACACTTCCTATTTGTAGAAAGCCAAATATGAATCTCTTCAGTGTCATTCACCTCTGCTTATGTTTAATAACTAAACACATTCAAAATTAAGTTATTTCCATTATCCTTTTAGAAGCATCTTTAATTAGGAAAGTGCTGGTGCTAAGTGTTGACAGCTGTTTGCTTGAAGTATAATTAGTATTTCAAAATAGCAATTCTGGTTTTTTCCTTTGAAGTTATTAAAAGATTGCAAATTTCCACACCATTCACTGGCTATCAAGTACTGCAAAAGAATCTTTATCTCCACATTGTCTTCAGGATTGTTCATGCACATGCTCAGTGTCAGAACCTGTGGTCATTGCAAATATCATGACAATCCAGAAGATGAACAAAGACATGTTTCTCACCATCTTGTACCACTTTCCAAATATGATGCTCTCTATTCTATCATATTTAATCAGTGATTTAAAGAGCAATTGGCAATAACACTTTCAATGGTTAAGGACTTAAGTCTTAAATGTAATATATCCTGGATGGTGTTTCTACCTATTCCCATGTCAACTTGTCAATTAACTTTCATAATAAGTTATAAAACCTGAAATATGCAGTATTATGAATAATTGCAACTCAGTTTCTATATTTTTAAAATAAAAACATAACTTTTTAAATACCATATTTTTGAAAAGATGACAAAGGTTTGAATCAAATGAAGTTAACAATAATATTCAGAGCTAATAATATTATGGCTATGTACATTCAATTTTTGTTATAAAACTTAAAAAAAGAAAGACAAAACATTCACAAAAGTGTTGGATAAGGTCGGTCTTCAAATAGATTTTGATTTTCATAAATCTAACATAAACACCCTAAAGGGCACTGTTATCTATCAATCTTCGTGATATGCCAATTGTAATAAAAAGATGATGAGAAATGGACCAGAGAACATCTTTACCACCATCAGAATGACTCACCAGTGTGGCTATTCCTTTTGAAGTAAGTGGTAGAGCTGGATTTAGATTTGGATGTAAGGTATGTTGAGTTGGACCCAATGGAGCTTGAGGACAAAGATTTTCCTAGATTATCAGAACTTTTCTTGATGATATTGGTAGCTGTCTTGCTCCAGTCTGAAAGAAATAACATCTCTCCATGAATGTGTTTTAGGGAGCATATGGTCTACTGTGAAGAATCATCACCACATTATTTAATTTATCCAAAGCATTCAATTCTGTATATGCTAGCAACGGCTCAGAGAAGAGACTGGCATATAAACTGAAGAAGTAAATTTCAAACTCTGACCTGTTGCGCATATTGTTTAAAATCCTACTTCAATTTTGTAAGGGTGAGAGGTAATCACAGCCAAAAAAAGTAATACTATTCAAGTATTTTTTTTTATAATGAGAAAAATGTCTTTGCCTAAAAATGTGATCGAGGGCCTCAAAAACGTGGAAAGAAGCACATCGTATGGTGGAACCTCTGGATACCTGAGTTGTTAAATTAGACACAAAATCTTGGACAACTCACTTCACCTGGCTGGAATTCATGCTTCTCGGTGGAATAGAAGGGTCAGGCCCAGAGTCCTCAGATCGCTTGCAGTCCTAATATTCAAAGACTCCAACTAAGCGTCTTCATGTGCACCACCTTTACAATTCGCTACCATTGGGACTGGTTGCTCTGACAATGGAAGACCAGATGAGGAAGGTTTCTGACTACTCTTAGGTATAAAAACCAATTACCAACATGCCACTTTACCTGAGTTGTCTGCTAACCGAAATCTACCACAGCAGAGATGCCGCCTCCACTGTTTCTGAACATTCTCCTTCATAGCACAGTGGAAAATAAATATAAATAAGCCTGGAACAAAAGAAAATATAAACATTTAAGCCAACAGACACATTTTTAAAGATAAATCTTGTGAAACGCATGGATTCGTTTTAAGTTTTGTTTTTTTTTTAATGTCTGAGTCACTAAGGAACTAGAATAATTACACATATCTGATTCTGTCTTTGCCTGTTCTGTTCAGCGATTGTTATGACTTGGCCCAAAGGTTAAGCTGAAATGGGCAATTTTCAATTTAAGAGGCCTTTAATACTTCCCCTATGTTTGTTTTAAAATTCTGTGAAAGCGTCACAAAAATCATAGAAAAAAAGAGAAAACTGAAAGTATCTGTAAGCTCTGGTGCAGTTTCTGTATTCTAAGCTATTTTATGTGTGCATATTATTGTAAATTTGGGCCATAGAAAAATAGTATTTTTGCAGGTCAAAAATGGCCCCAAATCAGCAAATTCATGTGGCTCTACCTGGACTGTTTTAGTTTCTCAACATTTTTTTAAAAATTTTATTTATTTGAGCGAGAGAGCGAGTACCCGAGCAAGTGAGAGAGAGCACAACCATGAGGGGCAGAGGGAGAAGGGGAGAGAATTTCAAGCAGACTCTGTGCTGAGCGCAGAGCCCAACAAGGGGCTTGATCTCTCGATTCTGAGATCATGACCTGAGCCGAAACCAAGGGTCGGACGCTTAACCAACGATGCCACCCAGGTGCGCCCTGCCTTTCTATATTTTCTATGGCTACACTCCAGTAGGTGCTCATTTTCTCCAGCCATGTGCTATGAGTGCCATACGCTAATTTTTACATTTGTCCCCATTCGCTTCTCTTCCCGCCACCACCACCACTTACAGGACATCTTCATTGGCTATATCTCTACTTAGCAGCATCTCAAACCCCTCATGTTCCAGATAGACATCCTCTTCATCACTACCCTCAAACCAACATCTCACCTCCAGCTCATTCCTGCCCAATACCATGTCAAAGGCTCTTCTTTCCAATCTTTCCATAACTGCTTCCTATCTGTCACTCAGGTGTTAGATCAACTGTTAACTCCTCAAAGAGGCCATAACCAACTGTTTATTTCATTTTACTTTTATGTTTTGGCTCTAGTCACACCCTTGCACACTAATCAGTACCTGATATCCTTGTATTCCTCATTTATTCATTTATTTGTTTGCTTGGTTGTCTTTTGCTAGTAGATAATAAGCTCCAAGAGCACAGGGATGTTTGTCACTCAATGCTGTACTGGCTGGCCATTCCCAGAAGGGTACCAGAAACTAAGCAGGAACTCCATGAATGTTGAATGAATGAATAAGAAGCATGATTATCTGCTCATCTATTTACATGAGTTAACTGAATACTTATATGTACATTCTAATGCGTTAAATGTATTTGGGGATAGGGGATGAATAAGAGTAGAACACAAATTAAAGAGCCACAGAATATAATGAAAATATACTTAAGGCAAAAGTTTCTAAAAAGTATGCAACCTAGTTGTCAAAGTACTACCTTAGTGATATACCACAGTAACCAGAATACCTACATAAGGGAGGGTCTTTTAGAGGACATAGAGCTTAAAGTGAACCTGAAGAAAGCTTTGGGTAGGGAGGCAAAGGAGTTTCCAAAAAGGGTAATTCATTCAGTGACTACTCAGCACTATTAAGCAGGAGGAACCATTGTTTTAGGAGCTGGATATTCACATGTAAACAAGGTAGATGATCACTGCTTTCATGAGGCGATGGGTCTAGCTTGGAAAGATGTAAAAGTAAAAAATATTATAGTACATTTAAGGGACATTAAGACTTTAAGACTTATCTGTTCTTTTCAAATATGGAGTACTCATCAAGAAAAGTGTAAATTATATTGTAGCATATACAACTGGAAAAGTGGGGAAAAGTATTGAGAGTACTCTCTTTTGATGTGTGTAGTTAAACTTGGAAAATATGTCTATGGTTATTCTTGTATGTTTTTATGTTTCAATATCTTAACGCAAAATGGCCCAGAATTCTATTCCAGAATAAATTGCATTATGAACTATTAGAAAAGGAACATGCTGGATTGCTACAGGATGGGCCCTGATTTCAGTGAAGGACCATGGCTGATTCTCCTCCTCTGGGATTGACCTCTTTGATCATCAATGAGCGCCTGACACTCAGGAGGTGCTCTATAAATTCCTATTGCTACCCCTGGTCACTGATTTCAATAGGTAGCTAGCCTATTAAAAAGTTCCTGGGAAATACAAATGCATTTATCTCTAAGAGGTATAAATAAAACATACAATGACCTAGGTGAAATAATACTGGTCATCGGTAATATTACCAATTTATTCTTTTTATGATTACATCATCTATATATTTATATAAGTAAAACTATTCTTTTATTTATTATATTATTTATTACTGATATTTTATTCTTAATAATTAGTGAAGGAAATACATCCTAGTGACCTAGTTATTTGTCCAAAATGATATCAGATTTCAATCATTCAGAAAACAAACGAACACGCACATATACAGCTCGTGAGGACCTGTGCTGTGGGCAGGAGGGTGGCAGCTCGGTTGGGCGGGGGAGCCAGAGAGAGGAGACCTGCTTGCAGACCTGCCTGGCTCAGGCATGACAAGTCTCAGAGTAGGGGGTAAGATTTTCTTCCACACCCCAAACCCTCAGAGTCAGCACCTGCAGGCTGACCCACCTTCCCAGGGAGTAGGGAGTAGACATCACTGGGTTCGGACCTCACCCTCACACTGACTGACTAAATCTGATTGCTTGTCAAAACCTTCCCACACCTACAACCCCAATTCCCTATGCCGTTTGCTGATACAGATAATCCCTTTAATAGGTAAACATGCCTTTCAGTAGCACTGGTAGTGTGAGTAACCAAGATATATAAATAATTTGAATTGGTTAACAGAGTCTTTGAAGTTTCTACAAGGTGGTGGCAGTTTTTGAGGAAAGGGAGCAGGGGACATGAAAGCCTAAGGACAGGTCAACACAAGCCACAGATGAAGGGGGCTGCTGTTTGAGGGAACAGAGCCCCTGCCTTGGGTTTTTGTGAACTGGGGCAGAATTTGCAGGGTTTGTTCTTGGAGGTATTTTTGTCAGATAGCTGAAAACCCAGGTAACCATGTGTTCTTAAGCCACTGTTTCACAAAAATCCCATATTAGGGCTAGGAGAGATTACAAACTTCGATTAGAAACTTTCCTCCCCAGATGTCATTCAGTATAGGGTCTCACACTGAGCAAATGATTTCCTTTTAGTTGAGGGCAGAAGGTGAAAGTTGCCAGATGTTGCTTCGTTTGTGTTGCACTCAGCAATTTTTATGCATGTCCTATCTACTCGAGGAAAAAAAAACTTTAGGGGTTATGTCTGGTGTTTTGAGGACACTGGGAGGGAACTAGTTCTTGGATTCACTTTGTCACTCTTGCTGGGATGCTAAGACGGGCATTACTTTGAGATCTGATGCTGACCACAGTCACGAGGAGAAGGTTAAAGATAAAACTGACTTAATAAAACAGTTTTTTAGATTGTGCAGTGCTGTTCTAAATTATAATTGCACAGCATTAGATGATATTGCCTATATTTAAGCATCTGCATGTGCCAGTAAATCTACAGGCATCCAGTAAGTTCAAGAGACGCTGGAATGTAAATTAGATTCAAAATCTGAACATCTCTTCTAAACTGCTGTGATGGCAGTCATTGAAATTGCCCCCCCCACTACGAACTGCCATGCTATGAAACAAAATTAAATGATAGGCACGAGAAATTAGAATTCTTAGGAGTTAATATATTTTTAAATGCCAAGGTATTTAAAAATACCTGATTCTTTAGCCATGAGATACATTTCCATTTTAAATCAGAATAGGATACTCATAATATGTTATTTTACTATTCATAGTAACTAGTCCTTTCCATGTGAATTAAATTAGTCTGGCAATAGATACTGTACCAAAATTCCCTACAGGACAAAACATCCCTTTTACAGTTCAGCTGTGGGAAATGTGGTAGGTATGCACATCTGGAAGAATGCACATACTCAGTATGCTGAGAAATTCTAAATACTTCAGGGAGGAGGAGGAGAAAATGCAGCAGGAGAGCCAAGGGAATTTGGAGGCCAAAGTGAGAAAACAGAGGGCTACTCCCTCCTCAGTTTTGAAGGTTTTTTTTTTTTTTTTTTCTCATCTATTTATAGGTCTTGGTGCCAAGCAGAACTAAAATCATAAAACTTTAGAGTTCTACACTGACATCCAAGGGGATCTGTTTGATTTCTCATCCCCATCTCTGCTCTCTTTCTAGCAAATGTTTTCCCTTTGAGAATCTTCCTATCAACCACACGGCACCTCAAAGAGTATCTCCATACCACCTGGAAAAATATGCTCTTCTAGCTTTCTGGAAAGGGCTTTCCGCTGTGACCGGGGACCAGGATAATTGGCCTTTACTAGTTCATACAGACTTACAGCTTTATTTAACTGACCAGGGAGTAGAGAACATTGCTCATAAAAGTTAGAAGCTGAAATGGGTGAAAAGATTGAATCAGAATTGAAATCTTTACTTCATCCTGACAGGCTAGTGCTAGTTCCATGAAACCTTTATCATCTCACAAAACACAGCTCATGAATTGTGAATTTTAGCCTGAAAGACCACCACTCTAATGAATCCAAGCCAAAGTTCCTGAGCAATAGTTTCTTTGACTTGATAACAGCTTTGATTCTTTATTTTACCTTCATGAACCCAGATTCTATGCTGGAACAAGCATAAAACAGACAGATTCCTAACCCATCCTCTACCTGTCCACCCCCCTCACCCTTGCTTTCCTTTTACCACACCATCTTTCACTAACCAGAGGGACCTGCTCCCTTAAAAAACAAAAATTTAGACCAATATGCAAATTCAAGATGTTTACTTCTCCACAAATTGCAATGCTCTTATTTAAAATAAGTGACATTTTCAATTTTGATGGCAGATGGTGTTGCAAGTATGTGGGATGGTGGGTCTGCTCAGGGGCACTGCCAGGGAAGAAAAGGTAATG